AATTGATTTTTTCAATTTTACTAGTGGTGCTATATCACTTTCTTTCTCCTACACATTACATTCAGACAATAACAAAAAAAAAAAATACACAAAATTGGAGGCGGATGCGCGATCGGGCATAAGTCAATTATGTGCATATAGTTCAGTTATAAGAACTGGAAAATTATTATCAGTGCATTATGTTTTCTTTTTTAAAAAGTTCAAATTTTTACATTTCCTTAGCTTAAGAAGAAAAAGAAAAAAAGAAAAATTTAAATGTCTATTCCAAAATGATTATAACTCATATTAGAATGAGTATACTTCATTACTTTTAAATATTACGTCTATTATTCAGCATATCAACAGATGATATCTTGTAGTAGTAATACTCTTTTAATTTTATTTCATTAATTTTTATTTATTTATGTATTTTCTTTTCTTTTTTTTTCCGAGAATGAAGAGAATAATACTACATTGTTTAAATTACACTGATATCTTACTCTGTCAATGAGAACACAAAGGTATTGTATCATTTTTCTTAAAACAAAAACAAGAAGAAAGTTGAATTAATTGGCTTTGTCTTTTACTAGTGTTGCATAAAATTGAACTGTACTATATTTCTTTTTTTTTTGTTATTGTCTGAATGTAATGTGTAGGAGAAAGAAAGTGATATAGCACCACTAGTAAAATTGAAAAATCAATTATTTTCTAGGTAAGTAATTTAATAGATAGTATGTTTCTTAACCTTACATATATAAATATATATGTTCATCGTTTATGTGTCGTTTTTTTCCGCCTCTTTCACTCTTTCACTCTCTCTCTCTCTCTCTCTCTCTCTCTCTCTCTCTCTCTCTCTCTCTCTCTCTCTCTCCCTTTCTTTCCTACCATCTTATGTTTAAAGACAGGAAATAATTAAATAAAAATTGTTGATTAAAAAGAACGTGTGTCAGCCCAGTCATCCTGACATATTTTTCAAAAATCAAAATCACTTGAAATATTGTTATTATTGTTGTATTTGTTAATTTTGTCAAGAAGATACTTGAACGGTAATGTTCATAGAGAGGTGTTACAGTTAATTCATCACTATGATATTAACATTCGTTTTCATTGATTTATCAAATGTAATATTAATGTCATAGTTATTTGTTACTTTGTAACTAAAATAGATTTAACTGTGACATATCTAGTCACAGTAAATATGAGAGAAGAAGAAGGAGAAATTATTAATCATGAATTTGTTTTTTCAACAGGTGCATTTTTCTGTATGTTCAACTATAAAACATTTTTTGATCATTTTCTCAACTAATTGACTCTGATAGTTAATTTATAGCATAGAAAATATATCGAATTTAATTTTTTTTTTTATATGAGTCTGTAAGCTGTACATTTATCTAGTTAAAATAATCAATAATGACATGCTATTAGTATCAACAAGTATGTTGTTTTATAAGTGTTCTACATCGTCAAACGCGATTTATAATGTTTTCAGACTAAAAGAATTTTCCTCCTTTTTCTTTCTCTCTCTTTTACACACACACACACACATTCTCTCTCTCTCTTTCTTTTAAAATTTTCCTTTTTATTAGGATGTGACATAAATCCCTCCGCACTTGAGCTTTTAGCACAATCTTTACCACATCAGAATCCTAAACAAATTTCTTTTTTTTCCCGTTGTTCATCTTACTCTTATGTTTAATTGAAATTCATTAAGGCGTAAGAGAAAAAGAAAGGAGTTTAGTATTTATTATTTGAGATATATAAAAAGGTGAAAATAACATATTTTTTTTCTTATTCATTTATGAAAAACGTACGTAAACAAATATAATTCCTTAGGTTATCATTCTGGCGATTGCTGTTGTTCTCTCATAGTTATTAAAATATGTTTCAAATTTTGAAGGCACTCTAACACCGGAAAAGAGTTTTTTGAATGAATGATGTATAGAAAAGAGAAAGGTTAGAATGAAAAATTTGCTATACGATTAGGCATGAATGGTACTGACTTTTTAATATGAACTAACCACTCTCTTATCGAGAACTTAAGTCAAGTTATTAGTACTCACAAAAACATCGGAATATTTATTACCTTAATTAATTTTTTGCCGATTTACTGACAAGAGAATCTTGAAATTTGATCAAAGTTATTGTCGCAAAAATCGAGAGTAAAAACTATTAGAAATAAATGATACTTTTAAATTGAAAATAAATTGAACAAGTTTTAATTGAGTTATAAATATATTCATCTCAAATACAGCGAAATATTTGACATTGTTACATTTTTTAATATTAAACTTTTTATAATTCATCTAAAACTTGTTCGCTAGTTCTAATAAATTTTTTCCCACAGAGACAATCGAATAAGCTTTACAAACTGATCAGATCAAAATTTCTTCATTCTCAATTTCATGATGATTTTCTAGAAATGAAATTTCTGAAGACTCAGTCAGAAATTGCAATGTGATTCGTGATCAAACGTAATCATAATAAAATTAAAGAACTTTCAATTAGAAAAGCTTCGAATCACTAGGAAAAGATGCTTCAATTTTCTCATCTGATATACGCAAAAAGTTTTATATTCAATAAGGAAATGAGGTGAAAATAGATTTTTTTCGTTTACTTTTCTAGAAGATGATTGATTTTTCTTCTTTTTTTTTTTTCTTTTTAGAAAATAATAAATAAAAAAGTGTTGTTCGCTTTTTTGTTTTACTATAGTTAAGTAAATGTTAAGTTTTTGTTTTTTATTTAATATAGTAAAAATAAAGTGTCAGTTAATTAGCAAAAATATAATAATATATTTACTTTAATATCTTATAGCTTATCGTTTATTGAGAAAAATATTTTTATCAATTTAATCTTTGTGATTTTTTTCTTCTTCTTCTTCTTCTTCATCTCTTTAAACAGAAAAACATGATCCATTGATTTCTTATCACACACATCGTTAAATCTTAAAGTGAGCTTGTACATGTTTTACTAAATATTTTTACTAGATACAACAACAATCAACTAAAAATACTAAATAATTTTGATCCGTTTTATTCTTCTGTATCTATGAATATGATAAATGAATATTAAACGTGTGTGTGATAAGCTTAAATAGTATTATTATTCTTGTTATCACTATTATATTCTATTATTGTTCACAAATAATTAATAAATATTTCTCTCTTCATTTTTCTTCTTCTTCTTCTTCTTTTTTATTTCTCACACCTGTAATGTTGAAACATGTACGTATTAAATACTATTCATTCGCGTATTTAACATAAAAAAATAAAAAAAAAGAAGACAAAAAACAAAAAAAAAGAGAAAATAAACTTATAAGATCGTCTTATAAAGTTCATTCAAGAACAAATTAGCAAAATGTAATTTTGTTCTATACTCAAATATTTTTTCCTTTTGTTCTATTTTTTTTCTGTAAAATCTTATATCATAAAATATCCAAAAAAAGAGAGAGAGGGAGAGAAAAAAAAAACGTTTTTTGTTTGTCTTTAGAGGAAAAAAACAACGTCTCAAGTTCAAAATTTTTATCAAAAAAAAACCTTCTCACCTCGGATAAGATGAAAGAATTATTGGGTTAAAAAAAAAGTAGAGAAAAATGATATATCCTAAACTTTTTTTTTTTTTTTTGTTTTTATTTTCATTTTTTATTATGATGATGATAGAGAGTAATAAAAAAACGTACAGGTACCATAATATAAAGAACTATTTTTAATAAATGATCTATATATGCATAGTAATGAGACAAGACTGATCGACAGATCACGTGTTAAAGTTACATTACAAGTGGAAAACACTTTTTCACATGTTATAGATATTATAATTGTTATTATTATTAGTATTATTATTATTATTTTCTTTTTATTTTTTTTTGGGAAAAATAGAGACAATAGTGATCATGAAACAACATGCCAACGGCTGCTAAACAATATACTCTAACATTGACAATGTCAAACTAATTTTATAAATTAATTAGAAATACCTATGTACATAGAAATTGACATATTGGTGGAACAAAAATAAAAAATAAAATAAAAAATATATATACAGAAAGGAAAAGAGAATATGATGGTAAGAGAATAAATATATGACAAGTAAAATGTTAGATATTTATTTTTTAGATATATATATATATTTTAATGTGTAAGTGAGAATTTGGTGAGGGGTGGCTATATAGATGGCCTCCTGATATGTCTTATCATCTCGATTTGCCTCGCGACGTTGTCGTTTCGTTAATATCAAACGAAACATTAGATGGTGGTATTGTTGGTCCAGGTTTAATTCGATCAGTTTTATTAAATACGAATTCTCAAACTTATCATCATTATACAAATTATAATCAATTTATTAATATAACATCATTATCATCTATTACAACTACTACTACTACACTATTAACAAATATCGATAATAATTTACCAGAACCCTATTATTCATTTCCATTACTTGTACTTATCGCTGTTGTTGGCAGTATTACATCGGTATTAACCGTTCTAGGAAATATATTAGTAATGTTAGCATTTTTCTTAGATAGACAAATACGACAACCAACAAATTATTTTATTTTATCATTATCTGTAAGTGATTTTCTTATTGGTTTATTATCAATGCCATTTTTAACATTATATATTTATAATGGTCGATGGCCATTAAATGAAACAATTTGTGATATCTGGTTATCGTTAGATTATACTGTTTGTTTAACATCAATTTATACGGTATTATTTATTACTATTGATAGATTTTGTTCGGTAAAAATGCCAGCTAAATACAGAAAATGGAGAACATCAAAAAAAATTAATATTATGATTATTATTACATGGGCTGTACCAACATTTATTTTTTTTTCATCAACAATGATCTATCCAAGAATAAAAAAGATTAATAATTTACAAAATGGAGTATGTAAGTGTCACGCTAGAATCTCGTGTTAATAATATAAAAATAAACTGAACATTTTATTATTATTACAGCAGAGAGAGAGATATACATTGTTCACTACCATATGGCATAAGATTACCGTTTTAAAAAAAAAAAGGATTTTTTTAACAAGACAACACATTTTTTCTTTTCTAGAACAATATAACACGAGAGATATAGAATCTAAAGCTGCTCAGAAACAAAAACAAAAAAAAAAAAAAATGTCTAATCTTCTACGTGTGTTTTACATGACAGCCTAATACTTCCATCTTCTTTTGAAATTCGAATTTTTTTACAACGTATAGCAAAATATACACATTTTTAGATCAACATTTTTTTACTACTATTCTTAACAATAAAAGTTGATATATATCCTTCCTATTAATAAGAGTAGATGTTATTTTTAATCTTATTGTGTTCTTTTGTTTTTTATCAGTTTTTTTTTATTCATAAAAAAAACAGAAAAATATTTTAAAATTTGTTCTATGTATTTAGGTGATGTTCAATGGAATAAAAACCGTGTATTTAATTTATGTTTAACAATTGCCTACTTTTGGACAACTCTCATTGTTATGATTATATTGTATATATTTATTTATGGTATAAAATTATTCATCGTTTTCTTTTCATCAGTTGTGTATAATGATTTTTTTTTTCTTTATTTTTTAATTTGAGGTGTTGCTAGTAATTTAGAACGTAAATCAAGAGAAAATGCTCGGAAAATGTCTTCCCTTGTTGGAATGGCAGGTAAACATTTTTCTTCTTTTTTTTTGCTAAAATTAAAGAAAAAGTGTGAATGAAAAATGATAATAATTTACTCTTTTTTTTTCTAGGCAATGCCATGACTCAGATTGGTATTGGTGTATCAAAATCTCCAACAAAAACTATTGATAAATATGTGAATGGTGGTGGAGGTGGAGCTGGTACAAGTGGAAGTCTTGATGATGATGATGATCCTCAAGGTCTTCTAGCTCATAGTGTTATGAATACTCAAAATAGTAGTAATTCATCGGAACAAAAACGTGATGATGATAATTCAAATTCATTTGAATCTCATTCTGATTATGATATGAGTGTAAGTGGTGGTACAATGACAAATGAAAAAAAACAAGATGATAATAAATATCCACGTAAAACTCGACGAGGTATGAGTGTTACTGGTACATCACATACAAATTCAACTAGTACACGTTCACCACGTAATTTAAATCGAAATAAACAAAATGTTCGTTTTTTTGCATCAAATATGGCACATTCACTCTATCGGAATACAAATCGTCTGAGTGGTTTTTCATCAACTATTTCAACAAAAAAAGCAGCTATTTCACGTAAAGCTGGTAGTGGTACAGGTGAAAAAAATATAGGATTAACAACGATACCATCTGAACCAGAATTATCATTGTGTCGTGTTTATCCACCACCACAACCTCGTCCTGAAACATTGGCCATTTTATCGGATGAAGTATTTCATGAAAAATTAAAATTAAGACAATCACCACTAGTATTTTTACCACCTCAAACAATAACGACAACTTTATCAACAGTAAATCCATCAAAATCATCTGATCATCGACCATCATATTTATCTCTCAATTTTCCAGCACAAACAACTAAAATAACAAATTCAAATGAAAATTTAATTCAATATCGACATTCAGAAGATTTATCTATGAATATTAATGATTTATATTCAATAACACAATCAGATACAACAACATCGTACGATAAAGAAGAAACAATTAATGATGCTCAAACAACAATATCTTCTGATATAGTGACTACTGAAATAGCTAATATTAAATCTGATTCAACAGTTAGTACAACATCTCCTACACCAGAAAATATAAATGAAAATATTCATCAAGAAAATTTAATTGAATTTGTTGAACAACAATCTTTGAAATCACCGCCATTACAACAAGATATCAGTAGTGAATCATCGGATGAAAGTTGGAGATTATTAAATAGTAATAGTAGTAGTATCGATGAATATATACCATATATTGATGAAACAGATTTCGAAGATTTAGGTTTGTCTCTTTGATTTTAGAAAATAATTCTTTTTTTCTTACTGATATCACGACATTTTTATCATAAAAATAAAATTTACTAAAAAAAAATAGAAACGTTCATTTTATGCGTTTAAACTATTTTTAGATATACAATAGAATCTTAATTTTATCAAATTTTAACAGTCTTTTTTTAACATATAAAAGTTCTCTTCTATTTTAGGCTATATTTTACATCGTCGTCGTGTACCAGATAATCTAAATGAGCCCGTTCGAGAAGAAACTGTTGTTTACAAATCACCATTTTATTTAAAACATAAACATCGTTCTAAATCAAAAGTACCGGCTACCAATGATCCATCAAATCTAAATGGTGGTACAAAATATGAAATTTATGCTAATGATGATGCACAAATGGCTATTCTTGAATCAGCTGTCTATGATAGTGTTGAATTAATAACAATTGGTGCCACTAGTACAACAGTCAATGATTTAGATATTCAACATCGTAGTCTAAGAAATGTATCACGTGAAACATTGTTAAAAAATTTATTAAGTTCTAAACCATCATCAACCACAATGTCAACACCAACAAAAACTCCTACATCAATATTAAATAATCATTCAATATCATCATCAATTATTTTAGTATCACAAGCAAAATCATTACCCACTACTCCATTAAATCAATTAGCACCAAAAACAACATTATCAACAACAATGGTTACTAAAAATCAAACAATTGAACAAGCACTTTTAGAATTTTTTCAATGTGGACAATTAGATACTAGTGAAAATAATCGATCGAATGATAATTATTCATTATCACGTGTAAGAAGTATGACATTGGCAAATGCTACATTATTAAATGAAAATGAAGAAAATACAGATTTTGAACAAAATGAATATAATGAAATAAGTGAAGAAACATGTTCTCTATTAAGATTAAATGAACAAAAATCATCGGCATTTTTTGATGATGATGATTTTTCAACAGTTCCATGTGATCAACAAATGATGAAAAAAATGATGTTAAATAAACAACAACGTCAAGATTCAGATACAAATCAAAGTAGTCATACTATGAGTATTAATTATAGTCAAGATTTTTCTGTCGATCGAATTTATAATTATGAATCGTCTGCATCATCGACAACAAATAATCAACTTCATCAACCAAGATTATCTAAACATACATCATCATCACTATCATCATCAATTAAAAATCCTATTAGTACAGCATCAAGTGTACGTAGTTCAACAAGCTCATCAACAACATCTACAACATCTTCATCTCGTACTACTGGTATCAAGAAAAAAGTCAATGATGAACAACAATTTTTATCAACAGAATTTACTCAACAATGTCAGCAAACAACATCATCTGATTCAGATATTGTTACAACAACCTCAACAACATTACCAACAAGTACACAATTCAGGTAAGAATAGAGACTTTATACTATGTAATCTTAATCGTTCAAAATTTCATTAATATCAATAATTTAATCTCGTTTTTTTTTTGATACTCTAGCCCAGATTCGGATCAAAAAAATTTTCATAATTCTATTACACAAGATGTTTTACGTGCTATAACAAAACTTAGTTTACCCGATTCAACATTAGATAGTTCACTTGTACCATCATCTGTAGCAACGACTACTGCGACAGCAACTATTATGCATGTACAAGCACCGATAATACCTCCATGTAAAAATATGATATTAGATTCATCGATAAATACAGTAACAAATCGTAGTCGTTTGCCAATACAAAAAACATATAGTCAAGAATCGAAAAAATCTGATACAACAAGTATAAGTAAAAGAATATTTAATCGTACTATTCAATCATCTATGAATAAAGATCAAAATTTATTATCAAAATTAGAAATAAATTCAATGGTATTTGATAAACGTTTTTCAACGTCAGATACGGTAACACGTGATAACGATACATCCGGCTACGGTTCACATGATGATCCATCGATAATAGTTATTAACAATAATCGTCCATCAAAAGTGACATTTGATCATTCTTATTCGGGAGATCAGATTCCAAAAACAAAAGATCAAGGAGTTATGGCAAATATTGGCAGTAGTACTAGTAGTGGAACTTGTATAGGAGGAGCATTTCCAAATCGAACTGGTGGACTCGGATGGTCATATGGAACATTGAATAGCGATGAAGAAAAAATTGGTAGTGGAAATCAATTTGGAGGTGGTGAAAGGGCAGGTATCACAAGTGGATCAACATCAGCCAAGTCTTCCGTGAAAGAATTAGTTCGAAATCAAAAATCAGCAAATCATAGAAAATCAAAATCACAAAATCGAGCTCGCAAAGCATTACGAACTATTACATTCATCTTAGGTAAGTCAAAGTGGTACATCTCAATGCATTATATTCGAAATTCAATGAATATTGTTCGTTTTAGGTGCTTTTGTTGTATGTTGGACACCATGGTAAGTATAATTGTAATGTAGAAAAAGAGAGAACTTTAATTATAATAGGAAAAAGAGTAGATTAGACATATGTAGGATAATGGTTTGTTGAACTCTAGTCCTACTTTGTGTAAACCTTTTTCACAATTGTTTTAGGATAAAAGGAAAGGATCGGTAACGAATGATATGCAAGATGTTTTTAACTTTTTTGAAAAAAGTCTTACAGTTATCATCCTCTTCATATCCTGAGCCCTAGGTATACTAACATAAATAAAATATCATAACAAATTCAACTTCTCTTATTTTTAAAGTTAACTTTTCTTTCAATCTTTTATAACTTTTTTTTTATTTTTCAGTATTAACTAATATATTTTTCTTACATATTATATAATTTATCAAAACTTTAATCAAATTTACTATCTGCAACACTTAATCAACAACAGAACTATAAAACCTTATGCTTTTAAGTTTTAACGCTGCGCATCTGTAGGCTCGGTTTAAGAGCACGGTATTATGATCTTTCCACCACGTTGGTACCGTGTATCCGACTTCTACTCAACTACCTCATGTGAAAAAAAGGCGGACATACCGTAAAATGAGAAAACCCCCAGGATTCTAATAGAACTTTTACTCTTTATCTCTAATTTTGCGGGCTTCTTGCAGAGTTTCAGAGTATAATCCGTAAAAATCATGCAGAAATCCTGTTACATAAAAATGTCATCATTATTGAAAATTCTTGAGAGATTCAAGCGAAGATCCTAGAAAAATATCGCGTAGGTTTTTCGAATGAAGAAAAACTTCATTCTTTTTAAAAGAATTTAAAAAATTCTCTCTTATTGTGGAATTACTAAGTGTTAGACGAAGTCACGTTCACATTATTACTAATAACGAAATTTTCAAATTTTCTTCTCTACTTATTTTTTTTTAGGCACATATATTCGGCTGTACAATCTCTTTGTGATGCATGTAAAGATAATGTTATATTTTCTAATACATTATTTCATGCTGTTTACTTTTTATGTTATTTAAATTCACCAATTAATCCATTTTGTTATGCATTAGCTAATCAACAATTTAAAAAAACATTTACAAGGATATTAAAATTAGATTTGCGAAGACTTTAAACTTTTTGTTCAGTTTTCGCTTTTTTCTTTTTTGTATCTCTCTTGCTTTCTTTCTATTTTTTGTCATACATACGTCACATTTTTAATACTAGGCACTATGTTTTTTTTTTCGCTTTTTTTTAAAAAAATATTCCACTGCTGTTAAATGTCAAGCTCATTTCCTGTTTGTTTTTTTAATCATGTAAAAATCAATAACAATACTATTAAAAAGGAAATGAGACAATTTTACAATGTTAAAAGACACAATCAATTAGAGATTGATTTTTGACTATAGATTTTAAAAAAAAATTATGAATAATAATTGCGTTAAATACAGAAATTCAGATAATTAATACAGTCAGTCTATGTATTTTCTAATATTTATGGTTAATGTAAATAATGGGTAAGTCATTGTTCGCTTCTAATTGCTTTTTTCTAACTGACTGCTATACTGTTTCTAACTTCATTCAACTATCGTGTTCAGTAATTGAACAATGTGGAAATTCACGTTGAAAGAATCGTTTATATTTGTTTGACATTGGACTTATTTTTTTACAAATATTATTCTGATATAATTTGAGTAAACAATCATTGGTCAGTTGAATTTTTTCACATATTTGACGTTGTGTATCGGCTTTGGTTACTCTCACTTGTGAAAATGTACAATAAGATTCAAAGATACCAATAGGACATGTATTTGTCATCAAATGTTTATCGATTTGTAACCAAAATTCATACATTAATAAACATTGATAAAACGTTAGTTTATGATGATAATTTTTACAATATTTTTTCAATTTTTGACGTTTTTTTTCCCATTTTGAATATTTTTTTTTACTCCAATTTAGTGTTGATATATCGTACAAAGAATAGGGATGTTTGAGACTATTTTGTAATAATATGGAGAATGATGTTTTATTAAGTAATAGAAGAGAATCGTTTACTGCATTTTGACATCGAACATTTTTATGTAACAATATTAAATAGAGTATAGACGATATCAACAATACTTGACTGACTTTAATCAAAGCCTCATACATGAAAATTTTTTGATATAGACTAAAAATGATTCAAGCTTAGTGACAAGAACTTATTTTAAGAAAAGAATAAAACGAAAATTTAGCTGTGTAAAGTTTACAAGGAGATCAAAAACTCATTCGTCTCTATCTAGCTGCTCGACGGATTGCGAAAATTTCGTAGAAATTTCGCTTTCAGATCTTCCTCTGGTGTTGGTTTATTACATAGTCGCAGGGTACATGCCTGAAATTAGATCCATACTATCATTCTACTTTGTTAGTCTAGATACATTGCTCAGTTGGTAAAGTGTAGTATTGATTTGTTTATAGAACAGATAATATGAGAAAAATGTAAAAAATTTTTTGTTATGTCTGAAATTTGAATGATGATACTACTATCATAGTAGTATTATGGTTTGGTTGGAAATGTATAATAAAATGAAGATAAGGAGTAAAAATATGATTCTGCGTTTTTCTCTGGTGATTCTTCTTTTTTCTGAAAGGTAATTTCAGATCTTAAACCTCTTAAACTCTTCCTCTGGTGTTGGCTATTGCATGGTCGAATTGCGAAAATTTCGTAGAAAGAAATTACTAACAAAAGATTATTTAGATAACATATTAAAAAACAATCATTAGCTCGTAGTTAAACATAGTCAAGCTGCATATCTCACAAAATCTTCCTTTCTAGAATACTTTTGTGTAAAGAACAACTAACATTTGATCAACACAAGTCCGAAACTCAAAATGAAATTTTATGTAGTGCATGAAATTACTCTCATGCAAGAAATTATCTTTTTAAGAAACTTCGTTCTTTGAAATTTTCAAAACCTCTGCTCGACTTATAATAGAAGCATTAGAGTAAGAATGTTCCTATTAATTGTGCAGATTTGATATACAATAGTTACAGTTAACTGTAACTACAAAATTCCTTCAGTTAACACTAATACATTTGATAATAGAAATTGCTCATAACTGTCAGAAAAAATTAAAAAATAAAACTTAAATTTTACCTTTTCAAATTCGTACGTAAGAAAATGGTCGTGTTTAACATGTAACGTCTTTGAACTTTAGCCCTTTAAGGTTCAGTGTCCATTCAAATGGACATTGACGTTATCATTATAACAAACATTATTTGAAAAAACTAATCTCCTATCGGTTGTAGAGAATTGAATTGGCTATCGAATGCTAAAAAAAATATTTTCTTTATGTTTTATGCTAGCCGAAATCTTTACATTTTAAAATGAAGACTATTTTCGAAAAAATTTAATTTTTCAATTTAATTCTTTTAGGTACTTTAGAAAAAGCTTCTTATCCAACAACTTTTCAGAAATATGTAGGACGGTGTGCTCTTTCAAATTATATCAGCTGAAGAAATTATTGTTTAAATTGTCGGCTGTTGATGGTACAAAACAAAAGCTCATATGTTGCTAGGATTTCGGGCTCGTTTTCCTGGTCACTCTTGATTTTCGTCAACATCTGAGCTCATTTTCTGTCTCAACTTCCTCAAACCTAATGGTCTAAACTTAAATGTGTTCGGTCTTTGGTTCAAAATGGGAATTTTGGAAAAAATAATTTTTTCAAATTTTGATTTTAAATTTAAACTTAACTTTTTTAAAAACGAAAAGCAAATTTTTTCGAGCGTGAGAAAGTCGCGATTGAGGTCTCATATGTTCCACTTTCATAAGAGAGTGACGCAAAACCAAGCATTAAAGCCTTGGGGACTTAAAGAATTACTGTAATTTTAACACTTGAGAAACACAGAGAGCACAAACTTTGTAGTAAAAATAATATATAAATACATCTTAGTGCAATTCATTAAAAGAATCAATATGAGAACACGAAATCACTTTCATAATTAAACTGTGTTCGCTTTTTTCCAACAGTTTAGTAGTACAGTGGTAGTTTTAAAATTACAGTTAACTGTGACTGATGCATACCTACTGTAGATCAAAACTCAGCATTAATAGTGCATCTGTTTTCTTCGTAAAATCCCAGTTGTAAACATACCTTCCCTGGCGTTTCAAAATGCATCTAACACTATCTATCCTTTTCATGCCTACCCTTTTTCTCTTTTTGTTCTGGTATCAGCTGCTTTTGTTTCTTTCCAAATATCATTTTAATTTTGAAACGTAGAGTACAAATTTTTATTTTCATATAAAAATCTGCCTCATTCCTCTAAAACACGATAAATCTTTGTATGACTAGAAAATCTCATGGATCACAAACACACATCTCTGAAACTTTTACTTCAAAATCTTTAATTCTTCTACTCTATTGAGATAAAAAAAAGGTGATCTTATTTGATAATATCATGCAGTATAAAAATGATCGAGATAAAAAACTAAATTCGACATGCTGATACAAACATAGAGAGATTGAACGAAAGCAGCAGACAATGAACTACTGTAATTTTCAAAAAGTTATATTAACTTCGTTCTTGAAATCAACACATAAAAATACAATGGATTAATACAAATTTTTTTGTGCAGTTGTAAAATTCAAATTCTGCGCCCTTTATGTTTTTACCGTTGATAACTAATTCAATTCAATGGTATTGTGGTTTAAAGCAAACTCGGATGCTTCAAGCTTAACAGTTCCCTCAATCTTACAGTTTCTCTTTCCTCTCACTTGCGAAATACGAATATGATAAAAAATTGTTTGTGAATCTTCAGCGTCGTTCACTTTATCGTCATTTGACAAAAGAAACCTTTAGTAGCTAGTATTCATACGTAATTAATCGAAGAAGCTTACCTGGAGTTAAAATTCTAAATATTCAGGGTAATACAAGTAAATATCCATAAATATTTTAAAAATTGAACTATAAAAAGTTTATAACTGCTGCTTCGAAAAATTTGTTTGTAAAGAATATGTAGTCTAATATAGCTACTGTCTTTTCATGCGGCAGATAAGTAAATAAAGCAATTTATTTTTGTGTTCGCTATAAAACTAGTTCGTGTTGTTTTTAATAAAAACGAAGTCGAATTAAAAAAAGTCACATTACAACAACATCTATTATACAAAAAACAATCGCAGTATGTGTGTGGTGTGCGTGTTTGTGCAAACGTGGCATTAACCTACAGTAAAAAATCAAAACAGAGTGTATAAGTAAACAAAGCAAAAGAAAAAATGTAAGAACTGAGTTACAACGACATCAAATTTGTTCTAAAAGAAAGAAAAACAAAAGAAAAGAAAACAGATAAAAATAACTCGATCGCAAACTACGATCGCCACAATCCTGATTGCCTAACAGCTTGTTGTAAAAGCATTTGTGCACGATGTATTTGATCAGGAGTACCTTCGATCGTTATTATACGATCCGTTGCATTTAAACCATTATTACCCAAAGTACTACCACCACTTCCTCCGATCTGCTGATCATCAACAATTATATTTGCGTTTGTTTGTTGACGAATTTCTTGAATTTTTCGACCACGTGGTCCCATAATTGCACCAACTAATTCGTTCGGAAGGGTCACCTAGAAAAAAGAGCAATAACGATCAGATTACAACTCTGATATACAGATAATATATTCAAAATGTATGCTCAAAAGTTAGAACGTTGCTTAAAACCTGAGAAAAGCATTCAAACGTTGAAGTATAATCAAAACGCTTAAAATGAAGTCATAAAATTTTTTAAGGTCAATGATAAAACAATCTTTAAATACACATGGCTATTTAACTTCAAATAAGAGTTTCTGTCACGATAACGCAAAAGATTTTAAAAGGAATATTCTGATTCAATAGAAATAAACAGAATGCACAAACTTGTGTTGATGTAATCATTGAGCGAAAATTTCTCGAACCATAATTGAGTAACGGTGGTAAATGGTACATTCCAGGTGCCACGGGCATCATATCACGAAAGGGTCGACCACCAACATTCATTCCATAACCATTTGACGGCATTCCATTAAACAGAAAACTACCTGAAAAGAGAACAAATATAGATCTTTCTCATATCCTAGTCAAAACTCAAACAGAGAAAGTCGATCTTAACGCATTAAAGGTGTTCAGAGAAAGATAAAAATCTAATACAATGCAAACGTTCAATGGTCATAAAGTTAAAATTTATCTGATGTGTATTTCTGGTCTACTTTGAATGAAAATAAAAATTCACATTCAAAATAGTATGTTACTTACCATATTCATTGGCTATATAAATATCAAAATTATGTGGATCATAATGTCTTACTGGTGGCGGTGTTCGTTGTTGTTGTTGTGTCGATGTTTCCATTAGCGTATATAGATGTTTAATACATTCGATGATATCGTCTGATTTTCCACGCAGAGATACCACTCGCTCATTACTCATGGGACAACATCTTGAAAATACTTTAATATCTAAATTATATTTAGCTCGTAATTCTTTAATTCGTTCGCCACCCTTGCCAATAATTGCACCACAATATATTTGATGTACTAATAAACGAACTTCACATGGTTGTTGTTGTTGTTGTTGTTGTTGTTGAGTGGAATTTTCATCACCATTATTATTATCAGTTTGTTGCGGTTGATCAATTGTTGAATTTCGTCGACGAGAATTTGATGAACGGAATAGATCAATTAGAGTTGGAACAATTTGTTGTAGACAATCAAAACACTGTTCGTAATCACCTAAGAAGTACGTAAAATAAATATCTAGTAGTACAAGACAAAAATCTTAGAAAAAATAATCTATCTCTTGCACTTATTAATGTATGAAAAATACGAATATCTCTTCGTTTGAACGATTAAAACATATTTTTGAATATATGCTACTGATAGTACAAGAAACTAACTATTGGTTCTTCATCTGAAGGAATATAACAATAAAAATTTAGCAACTACTTCTTGTTCTGATAGAAAAAGATAATTTTATAAAAGTGTAAAAATTATTTGTGTTAAATAAGATTTTTACCTGATATAATCAACACTCGTTCGGGAGATGAGCAATCGGGTATTTGAATTGTACACTTGTAATCGGAACGTAACTTTTGTATTGAACTTCCACCTTTTCCAATTATCGCGCCAGCGTCTTTCGACGTCATTAATATTCGAATCTCACATTGAGACGAATTTGGCAAACGTTTTCGTCGATCTAATGGTGATAAATAGTTATTCTGACTCGTGTTATTGTCACTGGTGCTAGGATTTTGATTATTCTCCAAAGTAGTATCGTCCGAAGAATTCATTTTCGGTATAATGGCTCCTTCTTCACAAGAAAAATCTAAAATGTTCATACAAAAGAAAAAAATATAACGGAAAAATCAGATGTGTATGGTTTACTACAGAGGCTACCTACACGATAAAAAAAACATTTACTACTTCTGGACAACAGAATACTTTTTCTAAGTCATACTCAGAAAGATAACAACTGCAATGTAAATTAAAAAGTAATTCGAACACTCCGTATTAGGCTCAAATTTTTTACCTTAGCTGATCTCTTGCTAGCTTTTAAGACATTTAGCTGATATCTGCTATTCATCTTAGTAACTTTGTAAAACCGTTTTTCTGAATATTTTCAAAAAATGCAAAAATGCCTTTGAACACATAAATTAAATACGTCCTAAGAAGTGAATTTAACTTTTATTTCGAGAGAGTAAGGTATAAATTAAGACAAGTTGTTTACTTTTGCGCTTAATGAGATACCAGACAATACAATATTTTCTGTATGTTTCTCAAAAAGTAAAAGATTTATCCCTATCTCCTTAATTTTTTTAAATTCAAATGACGTCTTTACTTTTCGTCAAGCGATAGTGTTTTTTAGTGATAGAAAACACCTGAGTACACAAAGTGCATAGACACATATGTGTACTCTGCACTAGTGGCAGAAAAAATCTGCAAATACGACGCTAAACCGTGAATCTGTATTTAGCTCAAAATTGTCATTAAAACACTGATCAGAAAATTTTCAAAGAAGACCCATCAGCGAAAAGATTCGAAAGTCTCTTTTAACTTGGAAATCGTTCACCCAAGATCCTCTGCCTGCAACCCTGAAATTCGTTGAGTCCCCGCACGCATTATCATACAAAATCTGATTAAACTGTTTGTTCCGATTCTTAGTAAAGATTATATTCCTTAAAGCCAATCGATTATCGTGGCTTAGTGATACGTTAATTGACGATTAAAAATTACGTTTAATAACGTAGAAAGAGAAAACGTTTTTTAATTCTACAAAATTATAGAAAACAGGTCTACCATGCTTGCGGAGATTTATTCGTAAAATCATTAAATACTTTGATGATAGTTTAAATAAAAGCATGAAATACCACCGTTCAAGTTACTGAAACAAAATTAGAAACATTACAACTAGAATAAATCTTTCTAGGATAGTAAGACAATAACCGAGATAGTTATGCATTATGAAAAAGCAAGTTTTAAGAGGTCAACATAGTTTGAGCCAATGGGTTCAAAAATTAGCAAATAACACTTACAAAAAAGCGACAATCTAACTGTCCATATACACACTCCCGAAATGTTACGATAATTGTGTAACAATGAAATGTTGAAAGTGTGACAATCAACAACTTTTAGCATGAAATTGTTACACATTTACCGTAACATTTCGGGACGGTGCATATACATATAGTTAATCGATTTAATCAGATTGAAGTATTAACTGAATCTATAACTTCTGCTAATAGGAATCTAGCAAATAAGGAGATATCACTTTCCACATAAGATATCTCATGTGCGGCATATTTTTTCATCTCGGCGAGTCAATAGAAACGAAAGATATGCATGTGTGAAAAGAGATATCTCTTTATCTGCTAGTTCTCTAATAAAAGTAAACTTGTCCGTCTGACAGGTGAAAATCTCCTACTATTATCTGGTTGTGTGAGTTACATGTTGGTTTTATGATATTTGTCCATAGAGAACTAAGTGATTTCACAAGTTGTTCGAAGTTGAAGATAAAGGGATTAAAGCTTTCAGGGGCCTGTTTCTTAAAAAACTTAAGTAGAAAATCTGACTTAAGTCAAACTTAAGTCCAAAAAAGTCTTTGTCTTTTTTGACTTAAGTAAGATTTTCTACTTAAGTTTTTTTAAGAAACAGGCCCCAGGTCTTGACTGATGAAAGACCCGAATGAAAGACAAGGAAATGCTTGTACAACTATATTTTATATTATTAGTAAATTCAGACAACATCTTGTCTCATCCTTGAGTATATGATTGCTATGAAATACATATTAGGATGTTTCTAAATCCACTGTGATTTTATTCGAGCTTTCGATGACTTACTGTTATCATCGTCAGGAAACAAAATGACAAGAAGAATATCACTAGTCGACGTTCTTGAAATTATTTTTTAAGGATTCTAATGTCTTATAAATTCTTGAAGGAATCTTGTCTTTTTTTTCTTGACTATTCTTGTCTTGAGTATTCCGTCAAGATTCTTTGAGATTTTTCGTATATCTTTATATATAGAGACGCTATACACGTGCAGACAGAGCACAGAACTTAGGTCATGAAGACAGACAATCCACCATAGTGATACACTCTAGTTAGTAGACAGTTAAGGCTTTGGTGATAAACGAAAATAGATTAACCCGATGTATAAAAGAGGAACTTAGTATGTGCATTTAGTCTTTCATGATGATGATGATTTATTGCGGAAGACATGACCAGGCCTATTGCCCGCTTTCATGACACAGTAGAGAGATAAAGTTTAAACATATTATAAACAAACAAACACACATCTTTAAAAGAAACAACAAGGTATAAAACAGTTTAACAAAAAGAGACAAACACCTTTAAAAGAACCAAATAAAAAAAAAAGATTTAGTCTTTCATAATTTCGCATTTTTATCTTTTAGGTACTGTCGTTTTTATTCTCCATCACATTATCCAATTTAGTCTTTTATTCTGTTTTAGAGTCTCATTCATCTGTTTACGAACTATTGTATTCTTCTGCCCTTGTCTCCCTTCGCCAGTTTCACAAATCTCTTCTACACTTCTGTAACAGCTGTCATCTTGATGAATTAAACGTTATAAAACTCGTAGAATAAAATCTCATCTGCTCCTCACAAGTTAGTAATAACCCATTCAAGGCTACTATTTAGTAGTTAATATGTTCACTGAAATTGTTTAGTTGTCTATCTATTTATTTGTTTTGCACTAACATCGATAAAAGGAAAAGATTTACTCACATACTAACTTTCCTTTATTAAAAAGTCTGCTTATGACCATAGACAGAAACTTTTTCTTCGAAATTTTATAAGTTTCTATTTGTAATCATACATGCAAAAGTGATCTAATATTACAAGAACGTTTAAAGATTTTCAAGAAAAGATTCCGTAAGAAAAAAGATCTGATAAATTCTTGAAGAAGACAGTCACATAATTCCTGAAAGAATCAGTCAAATTTGTTTTCTTTGCAAGATCTTGAAACGAAAAATCATAGACAAAGATTCCTTCAAGAATTTATAAGACATAAGAATCCTTAAAAAGTAATTTCAAGAACGTCGACTAGTGAATGCACTATTCTAATTATTGAAAAAAATAATAAAAGAAAATGTGTCTTTTACATATGTTCGCGAACAACCTTAACCTTAAAGTTCTTAACATCTTGCCTCACTCACACATACGGACACACATTTGAGTCAGGATCAATAATAATTTTCAGTTCTTTACTAAGGATTTGTAATGAAAACCAGATTGATAGATATTCGCTGCTCTTAATAAAATATTGTTTGTTAGTGCATGAATATTTTATTTTATTTTTTCGCATAAGACAAACTGCACCACAAGGAATAGGTATAATTTATCATCAAACGTTTGATCCTCTTACACAGTCGTTCTTTCTCCTCTTTGTTCAATCTTACAAACAGATACACAAAGTCTCTTTTGTATAATAAATTTTCATCATTACCATTGTTTATGTTTTAGATTTACGTATACATTGTTCTAAATATGATCGATATCGACGAAGGATTCTACAAGCCACCGTCGCTTTCTACTGCGGGTGCAATTTTAACAAAAAATGCCAAAGGTAACTTAATAAATTTAGAAACATGACATCAAACGGCTATTTTTCTCTTATAATTTAGGACAACTTGTTACACAAAAAGTAAAAGTACATCGATATGTTGCTGGAAAACGGTATGCAAGATTTGAGTAAAGACTATTAATGAATGATACAAGTACTATTATTCTTTTAAGACCTGACTATGCTTCAGCATTAAATGACTATGAAGAAGAAGAACAAGAACAAGAGGAAATCAAATCGGATTCCGTCACATTCGTTGAAATGAACGATCGTCGAATACGTCGTTTACAAGGACGAGAATTCAATGCCGATGACGATGAAAATGACCGGTTTGTCTTTTCTTTTTAATTATTTTCTGTTTATATTTATTTATTTTTTTTTCTTTTATAAAGAATACTTCGTCATCGTGAAGTGATGGATCCACAAATATTGCAAGAAAGTAACGATGATGATGACGAACAGGACGAAGAGAACGAAAGAATAGCAGCTTCAGCATTAGTAAATCGAACAAAAGTTGATATTGAGTCAGATGAAGATGAAGAATTAGACGAAAGTGAATTAGAAAAACGACGACAACTATTAAGACTAAAAGCAAAAGACAAAATTAAAGAAGAGGTATATAAAACTTGAATCAAAACATTTTCTCTTCTTCTTTAATCATTATATTATCGCTAAGTATTCGATAAATAATTGAATCATTCTATTAGGAACTTTTGGAAGTTGAAGAAGAAGCAGCACAAATTGAAAAGGACGATGAAGAATCCGAGTATGAAGAATCTGAAACTGATGAAGAAGAAGATGAAGATAAAGCACGATTAAAACCAGTGTTTGTTCGAAAGTATGTTTTATTAGCAGAAGGAAAACAAACATCATCTCACAATAGTTAATTTTTTTAATTCAACATTTTAGAAATGATCGTCGTACAGTAGCAGAACGTGAGGCGGAAGAAAAACATGAAATACAATTAGAAATGGAACGTAAACGTATGGCTGATCAACGAAAATTACAAACACAAAAAGTAAATTATCTTCATAAAAATAAATAGCTAAAACTGAAAGACATTATTAAATATTCTAGATGATTGAAGATCTCATACGAAAAGATCGTCAAAAACAAAAAGAAGAAGATGATCGTGTAGAATGTGATTTTAATACGGATGATGAAGGTGATGAAGCTGATTATGATCTATGGAAATTACGAGAATTAAAACGTTTGAAACGTGATCGAGAAGAACGAGAACAGTATGTATTCATTATTCAATATTAATTTTAATAGTTATCAAATATCTATGCTCACACTTTTTTTATACCCATTATTATGGATACTCTCAACCATTAGTAATCACTTAAAATTTTGTTTTAGACGAGAACGTGAGCAACAAGAAATTGAACGTTTACGCAATATGACAGAGGAAGAACGTCATGCTGAGTATAAAGCTAATCCGAAAGTTTTTGTTAATAAAGCACCAAAAGCCAAATATAAATTTTTACAAAAATATTATCATCGTGGTGCATTTTTTATGGTAAATGTGTTTGAGTACATAAATTTATTTTTATTTATTAAACAATTCTCTTTTATAGGATAAAACTGATGTTGTTTATCAACGCGATTATAGCGAACCAACACTTGAAGATCATTTTGATAAATCAATTTTACCAAAAGTTATGCAGGTAATGTACAGTGTTTTCTTGTATTCTATTTTAGTGTATTTATGTTTT